GGTGTGGGTTTTATTGCTTGTCATATGACACACAGCAGCCACAAACAGATATAGGCTTATGTCTCTACTGAAAAATAAATAAATAAATAAAACAATCAAACCATCACAGAACATTTTTGTGATTTCCACAACAAATAACATTACAAACCATCAATTTTTAACCATTAAAACCATTAAAAATGGTTTTCTGTAGTGTGTTTTGGGACATATTCCATTAGGATTTATTGGTTTTAACAAGCCACCAATAGAAGGCAACCAATTACAAGTAGAGACCAACAGGGTCCATTACAGTTTCCCTTAAAACCAATACAAGTCCCATTATAACCAGTAAAACAATTACAAATTTTCTAATGGTGTCTAATGTTTTATTCAGCAGGGGTTTTATTTTTTATTTTTTTTAATATTCCCAAAATATATCATGAAATATCTCGATTCTCAAATATGTGCAAGTAAATGCATTTGGCACCTTTATAGATTATGCTAGTTCTCTAGTAAAATAGCCTAATAGTATTAGTCTATTAACTTTGCATAAAAATTTGTCTTTTTACTTAAGTACCAGATATGGTGTCATACCATTAAATATATTTAATACGACTGACTTTGTATTTAATGTGAAGTTAATAAAAACATAGTAAGTTACTAATTAGCCTATAACACTTTCACTGTACAAAAAGAGAGCAAAGAACATTTACACTTCAGTCCAGCGAATTCAAGCACTCTCAAACTCCCATAATAATCCCCCTAGAACCGCCTGGCGCGGAGGGGAAATTGTTGCCGCTCCACTCTGCTCACATACTCTGGTGTATATATGTGTGTATATATGTGTGTATATATATATATATACCTTGCTACGTGTACTGCGTTAGGCTAACTGAGACTTGTCATTTGCGCTTACATATTGTTGCTCTTTTGTTAGTTTTGATTGCTTCTATTGTCCTCATTTGTAAGTCGCTTTGGATAAAAGCGTCTGCTAAATGTAAATGTAATATTTTAACCTTTTTATGTACCGTTTTATAGCTGTGTAACTGTGAAATACTCTAGAAATTCCTTCATATTGTACTGTTGTGTTTTTATTCATATTGATCAATACAAAATACAAAAATAAATCATTACATTACCAACTCCTTATATTTTTAAAGTGGCTCAAAAACATTACAGCAACTGGGCATTTGAGTCAAAACATCAGAACAGAAAAAAAATGTGTTAGATAAATGTGTTAATGTCATAAAAACCAAAATCACAGTTACATCCTTTAATTCTGTGGCTAAAGACAAAAAAAAAAAACGATACATATGGAATACATAAAGCAATATTAATTTTGCCTACAAATCGCTTGTATTTTTCAGTTTTTGGTCCCTGTTCAACCCATTTACTGACAGCCATTTAGTGCTGGAGAATATTTACATGTTGGTTGGTCCTGTTGGATCCGAATCACAACCAGCATGACACAAGATCTGTATGCAGATGATGTTAATTAAGGCCTGAGTCATGGAATGTTGCTCGATGCATATGAGCTGAAGTTTTAAGCTGCCGTGGCGTGATTGCATTAACGACACTTGCTTTATACATACAGCATATCTGCGTTAAACTGCATATTTCTTGAATTTCAGTGTCTGGCATTTGCTACACATAGGTTGCAGAGAGGAAGTGGAAGACAGGAAACTGTGATTCTGCTTCCTGTAGTAGCAGCCCTGTGTCAAACGTGCCTCTGTTCCAAAACCTTGCTATCTGCTGCCTACATAGTGGACTTCTAAGTGCACTACTGTCTTCTAAGTCCGCACCATAATCGTTATGGAACTTAATAAGTAAATTGTTTGAAATGCTCCACCAAAAATGGATTCTGAAAAGTTTGACGTTAGCATGTTGCTAAGCTAATAGAACTTAGGGTTGCGGCATATGTATTTTTTTGGCAGGAATGAAGTTGAGGCTGTGAGTGATAGAAGTACAGTG